CCGTTAAATCCACCATCCAGTCGGAAACTGTCCACGTTAATATGCCGGACAACCTGGAATTTATTTGCGTTAAGACAACATCTCCTTCTCGAGCGCTATATATCATCTGCTCCTATATTCCTCCTTCTTCTGATATTCAAGTTTATATGCTCCATATCACTTGTATCAGAGAAGTATGTTCCCGCCTGTGTGATAATGACTTGGTGGTTATGGTGGGGGACTTTAATTTGCCAAACATTTCTTGGTCATTCTTTAATGTTTCCCCTCACCTTATTCCTTCGTCACCGAATGACTTTTTAGATTGCCTTCTTGAACTCTCTTTTGTTCAAATTAATCTTATATACAATCACCTTCATAGATATCTCGACCTGGTGTTTGTTAATGATGTTAATAATGCTGTTGTTTCTAGATCTTCTCCTTTAACACTGCCTGAAGACATCTATCATTCAACTCTAGAAATTAGTCTTTCCTTTTCTAGATATAGTGCAGGGTCTTCTGAGTGCAAATGTCTTCTCGCAAATGCTTTCGTAATTGTGATTTTGTTAGGCTTAACAGTTTGATTTGAAATACTAACTGGTCTTTCTTATATAGCTCCACTGATATAGATGTTGCTTCAAAATTTTTTTATGACACCATATATTCCATTTTCGATAGCATTTTCCCAATAGCGTCGCATCATCTTCTACTTTTAAACCTCCATGGTTTACGCGTAGACTTTCTAACTTAAAAAAACATTAAATCGAGATGTTTTAAAAAGTTCAAATATTCTATTGCAAAATCTAATTTTATTCTGTTAAACTCCCTGTGTTACACAAATTATCTCGAGCGTTGCAAACTCCAATTTAAACATGACCCTAAGAAGTTATACAACTTCGTAAATTCTAAACGGAAATCCTCGACTTTGCCATCGTCATTTTTTCTTGCGAATGACAATTCTGTTAATGATTCCGTAAGTGCTGAATTATTTGCAAAGTTTTTCCAGTCGACATACTCCTCCGAGTCTTTTAACGGCAATTCTTACCCATTTTGCATTATGCCTTCAAATTTCACTATTGCTCCAATAATTACAGATTCTTGTATTTTGTCTAATATACAATCTGTTAAAGCTTCTCCTGGGCCTGACAACATTCCTAGTTGTGTGCTCAAAGAGTGTAGTTAAGCAAGCCGTTGCTTAAGCTTTTTAATCTGTCCCTTGAGAACGAAATCTTTCCTGCTTTTTGGTAAGAATCGTTTATTACACCACTCCACAAAAAGGGTTGTAAGTCAGACATTTCTAACTATAGGGGCATTGCCAAGATGTCTGCTATTCCTAAATTATTTGAAAAAATAATTACTTCCTCTTTACAGCATCATTGTAAGTCTGTAATCTCCCCTGCTCAGCATGGATTTTTTAAAAATCGGTCAACAACGACTAATCTGCTAGAATTTACATCTGTCATAAATTATGCATTCCTAGCAAAGATGCAAGCTGATGTTATATATAGCAAAGCAAAGCATTTGATTCTGTGAATCACGGCCTTCTCCTCTTAAAGCTATCTCGTATGGGATTTCCGTCAAACTCTTTGAATTGGATTTCCTCATACTTAAAAAATAGGACACAGAAGGTACTACTCAGGTCGAATATTTCTAAACCTGTTATCGTAACTTCGGGCGTACCTCAAGGTAGTCATCTCGGCCCCCTATTATTCACTCTATTTATTAATGATCTTCCGTCTATCCTGCTGCATTCCCGTATACTAATGTATGCCGATGATGTAAAGCTTATTTTTTCGTATAAAGATCCTCTTTATCGGTCTCGTCTGCAATATGATCTAAACTGTTTTCAACGGTGGTGCTTGGTCAACTACCTGCACCTTAACTGTTCTAAATGCAAGTTTATGACTTTTCACCGGTCCAGACCACACTTATGCGATTGACAATATACCATTGCAACGTATATCTACAGTTGAAGATCTTGGAGTTCTTTTTGATTCCAAATTGAATTTCAATCTTCACATCTCCACTATCGTTAACAAAGCTAATGGTGTTCTTGGTTTTATTAAACGATGGTCCAGAGCATTTAACGATCCCTATACTACCAAGCTACTTTACAGTTCTCTAGTACGACCAGTGCTAGAATACTGCTCATGTGTTTGGTGTCCTCAGTATAAACTGCATCAGGATCGCATTGAGTCAGTTCAGAAACAATTTCTTCTTTTTGCTCTTCGTGGTCTTAACTGGGATCCTAATCTGCGATTACCTTCCTACTCCAGTAGACTTCTCCTTATTAACCTGCCCTCTTTGGCTCACCGTAGGATAGTTCTTGGTGTGCTGTTCCTCCACAAATTGATTGTTGGAGATGTTGATTCCTCTATGCTTTTAGGTCGTATTAATTTTTCTGTTCCTTCCAGGCCAACAAGGAACTTTCTGCCTCTTCTACTTAACAGATGCACTAGTGATTACGCCATGCACAACCCTTTTCGAGTATTATGCTCTAATTATAATTCTTTTTACTTTTTAATCTCAAATGAGCTCTCTCTCCCCTCACTAAAAGCTTCTATTTTCAGCTATCTCCGGCAGAATCACTGATCACCACTGCTGTGAGTAGGGGCATAGTTTGCCGGACTGGCTAATAAATTTTCCCCCAACGGGTCAGTGATTCTTCACCTTTAGCTTTTAATTATATTTTATCTCTTATTATTTAAGTTTTTTTTTATACTCTGTACATGAAATGTACAAGAGTATATTAGGTTTGCGGGAGCTGAAAAATGTAACAGGCAGAAGGAGGCGTGGCAGACCCCACAAAGTATATATATTATTGATCAGCGTGACAAGACGAGTCGATCTAGCCCTGTCTGTCTGTCTGTCCGTCCGTATGAACACCTGGATCTCAGAGACTATAAGAGATAGAGACACCAAATTTTCCACAAAGATGCGTTATGTGTGTATTCTATACGAGTTTGTTTTATTTTTTTGATTTTCCCCCCACTTCCCCCCTATGGGGGTTTTCCCGATTTTCCATTCGTATAATCGCCTATATCTCGGAGACTATAAGACCTAGGCACACCAAATTTTAGTCCAAGATGCCTTGTGTGAATACGCAGAAAATGTATATTTTGGAATTCCCCTCCCTCCCCCCTCTCCACCGCAAATGCGATTTTCTCTAACTCCCGTAATTCTTGGAATTTCGAACTAAAATTTTGCAAATACCCCCAGTTAGTAATTATGTGTCCGCCAAGTTTCACTATGATAGACCGATTTACCAAGAAGTTATAGCCATAAATATATTTGCTGCTGCAGCGCTGCTCAAGCGCTGCCCGCGGCTGTTGTTGATGTTGCTGTTTGGTTGACTGCGAAAATGCTTACACAGACACGAATGGATGCGCATAGGCATACATACACTCACACAGACGCAATTGCTATGTAAATTTGCAATTATACACCCTTTACGTGAGTTCGAATACCGAGAGAGGTAAAATCGATCCAATTTTTTTTTATTTATTTTTTTTTTTTTATTTTCTATAATTATTGTAAACATATGTACAGAGTATTTCAAAGTCGGGACACCCGACTTTAGCTTTTTTACTTGTTTTCTTTTATCTTCTATTGCTATTTTTTCATCTCCATTCCTTTTTTGTTAGGTCTAATAACTTATCTGACTACCCTCTGCTGTGAATCGGGGCATAGCTGGCCGTTTGGCAAATAAAATTCCCCCACCGTGTCGGATTCGTTATTAGATATTTGTGTCATTTTTGTAGGCTTTTTATTCCTATAGCTTTATTTTAGTTTAAATTCTCTTTTGTATTGATTTTTTGTTTTCTTTTTCTTTTACATTGTTTGTCGATGAAATAAATAAATAAATAAAAAATAAATAAATAAATTAAAATATCGCTTAATACATTTGGACTTAGTCTATTTCTTAATTTAGTAAAAATAAGGGGTAACGCGCTAAAAGCCCTCTCCACTGACACCTGAGTTTCTGGCACAGCCAACGCAATTTCCGCTATTTGTGCCAGCTCTGGTTCACTACATTGAAGAGACTTCCAGTGCAGCAATATATCATCTTCGAGGCATAGCCGTTCACCAAATTGAAATTTGTGATAAATACACTAGCATATGCTAGGTTCCGTTATGTGAATGAAGTATACGAATTGACTGTAGGTTTTATTATTATTTAAATTACGCCAAGTTGCAACGCCACGGATCCTTAAAAATAGTATCAGGTACCACTGTGCAAACGTATGCAAAACAGCTGCGTCAAGCTGAAACGGAGTAGGCAGAAGGTACACATACATATGTACATATGCCTGCCTACCACGAACGAGCGCTCTGCTACTGCAGACCGGCTCGTATGACACTGCTGCTGTCGGCAGCGACCCGCGGCGAAGCACGGCGTACCCGCACGGCAAGTTACCTCTGCCAGACGACCCGATCGTACCCGCCGCCTCTGTCGGCAGCGACCCGAAAAACCCCGCAGCTGAATTTCTCGCGGGCCCAAACGGGTTGCGAGCACATTTTACGAACCCTGGTATTTTTCACACGGACTTCGCTAGGACACAGTCCATGTTGCAGTAAAATTGTATCACGATTAAGTTTTCTTTAAATTAATTGATTTGGATGAAAAAGGAATAAGGATAGAGTTTTATATTATTTACGTATGAAAAGATTAGTTTGTGTAGCATGAAAATTGTGAACAATATTGTGGATTCAGTTAGTACATATGCATATATGTACATATGCATTTTATTCAAAAACTTGGTGTGTTTGTAATTTTGAGCTTTTAATAGTTTCACTTCCTTTTGTCTAAAATGCCGTGAAGATTTCATTTAAATGTATATTAGTACATTAGTTAACATAATAATGCCATCTGTTCTTGTTTCACTGCTCTACTTTCGTTACTATCTACGCACTGTGAACGGCTGGAACCAGGGCTGAGAGCTTCGATAACAATTCTAAAATTGTGTTATTGTGACAAATTGTTGCGCAACTTCATTCACTACAGCATGTTACAATCAGAAGAAAAATATTGCGGTATTTAGTTTCTTGTCAGACATCGTTCGGGAAGAACAAGTTGTCGAAAGGTAGTTGTGTAATATGGAAGGAAGTGAACACCATTTAAAAATATGTCAGGCCCAGGCTAGATGGTCAAACAAAATTATATCCGCTAACTACCGTGTTCATGAAACAATTTTAAATATTGGTAATTTTTTTTTGCATTTGCAATCAAAACCGTGTGTGAGTGGTGCAAAATCGATTTCGAAACCACAAGTTAAATATGCCCGTATCGCGAACGTATTTTCATTACCTCATTTGCTAAAAAAAAAATATGGGAGCCTTACTGTTATAATTACTCTTTTGACGGTTATCGCAAATTGTTTAACTGTTGGCCTATGCTCGAATTATCTTAACCTTCACGATACCTCGGATGTACTTATGTTGGGTACTAAATCAGCTGCGCGAAATTATAGTAACAATGACTCAGATAGCATATTGACTGCATTGACTTCGTCATCGACACCCCAAACACATCCAAGGCAAGTTTTCTTTAATATTTTGGTTGCTCCTTTATGTATGATGTACATACATACATATGTGCATTCGTATGCGTGTATTTACATACAAATGTACATTCACATGTTATTTTTTTTATGCATGTGCACTCTGTGGTAATGTTTGTAATATATGTACAGTGGCTCACAGCTTATTTCAACCAGCACCCTAAAAAAAATTGTAGCCTCTGTAAAATCTTAACTAAAAGGGATATCAAAATAATTTAAACGCAATTAGTTAGTCTGATGACTTAACTTTCAAAATTTAACTTCATATATTTTTTAAGTATTTTTCTAACATTTTATAATAATTAAAAACTGAAAATTCAACGAAAAACAATGCCACAGCTTATTTCAACCACATACTTTACAGCTGAGCGAAGATCTGTTATTCTACGATGTAACGGTAGTTTTTTTTTTCTATGCTTTAGTCATTGTTTTCGCAATATGGTGAAATATATTTTTGCTAAACTTTGAGAGTGGATCTTGCAGAAAAGTGTATTTAGCGAAATGGGCCCACGCACTACTATTGAGCAGCGAGAACTTGTTCTCAGGCACTTTAAAGCGGGCTATTCCCGCAGGAAAATTGGAGAGATGGTTGGACTTAATGATTCCACAGTCCAGAGCATCATTTATCGATTTGTTGGTGAGAACAGAACCCATGATAAGGGTAGAAATGCTCCAAATAAAATTTTTAATTCTACGGATGAGCGCTATATTGTTCGGAAAATCCAGGAAAACCCAAGATTATCAGCTCCAAAACTGGCCAATGATGTTGAGGCAGAGTTGGGCAAGTCATGCCACCCAGAAACAATTCTTCGCGTGCTTCAGGAACACGACTTTAAAGGCAGAATAACACGCAAGAAGCCTTTTATAAGCGAGAAAAATAGGACGTGTCGCCTTAAGTTTGCCCGGGAGCACTTGTACAAGGATAACGATTTCTGGAGTACAGTGTTATTTTGTGATGAGTCCAAATTTAATATTTTTGGATCAGATGGAGCCTCATATGTGTGGCGTAAGCCAAACACAGACCTCGATTCAAAAAATTTAAGGGCTACAGTTAAGCATGGCGGTGGCAACGTAATGGTATGGGCCTGTATGTCAGCAGCCGGCGTCGGAAACTTACAGTTTATTGAGACGACAATGGACAAAACTAAATATCTTGAAATATTGAAGTCCAATTTGATTGAAAGTGGCGAGAAACTGGGCATAAGGGACGTCTTTAGGTTTTACCAAGACAATGACCCAAAGCATACGGCGGGCATTGTGCAGACCTGGATGATATGGAATTGTCCGCATGTTATGAAACCGCCAGCCCAGTCACCTGACTTAAATGTCATTGAAAATTTGTGGTCAATTTTGGATGCAAACATTCGAAAACGCAAAATTTCAAATAATTCCGACCTCAAAAATGCATTAATTGACGAATGGTCCAAAATTACGTCACAAGTGACACAAAAGTTGGTCGAATCCATGCCAAAAAGGCTCAAAATGGTGGTTGATCAAAAGGGTGGTCACACCAAGTATTAAATTTAGTTAATTGATCAAAAACGTAGTTGTAATAATGTAATACATTAAGTGGTTGAAATAAGCTGTGGCATTGTTTTTCGTTGAATTTTCAGTTTTTAATTATTATAAATTGTTAGAAAAATACTTAAAAAATATATGAAGTTAAATTTTGAAAGTTAAGTCATCAGACTAACTAATTGCGTTTAAATTATTTTGATATCCCTTTTAGTTAAGATTTTACAGAGGCTACAATTTTTTTAAGGGTGCTGGTTGAAATAAGCTGTGAGCCACTGTATGTATACATACAACAGTGGAAAAAAGTATTTTGACAACACATTGCAAAATTTAAAACCGCTTATTTCTGCAAACCTATAATAGTAACGGTATCCATTCAATTTTTAAGAAGCAGAAGATATAGCTTTAATAGAAAAAAAATATCGCTCTGATAACGTAACAGATTTCCTTTCTATGATTATCTGCGTAGTAGATTGTGATTTTTTGGCTGGACAAAAGTAATTTGACATTGCTTTTCAAGGATTCGCTTGCCGTAAAAAACACGTGCTCAAATTTTTGAAGTGATTTTTCTTAGTTTTATTAATAATAATCACTGTTTGATCGCAATTTTTGTTAAATTATAGGCAAAACACGTTAAATAAGTGAATTAATTAGAATTGAAATGGTCACTAAGTATAAAGCAAATATTTCTGTAGAATACCTTAGCAAATAATAGAACATACCTAGACAAACAATTTATTACAAATTAACAAAAAGAAGAAGCATTATTCCTTCAATAAAATAAGCTCAGATCGGGAAGACCACGCAAAACTAAGCCTATAGAAGGCCGCATAATATTGGGGAAACTTAAGGAAAATGTGATGAATGCACCAAAAGCAGTGTCGAGTGAGCTCAAAAAGCACCATAAAATATCAATAAGTAGAAAAACTGTCCAAAGACGGCTAAAGGAGGCCTATATTTTACATATGGGCATGTCTCTAGAAATGTCAACCGCAGCCAAAAAATTCAAAGTCTGTAAAAGTATGATGTTTTAACATATTTGTATAGAGAATCTTTTAAATTTAAATTTTTCTTCTGTTTAATCAAAGCATTGAAGCCGTGCATTCAGATTAGCACCTTAACAATACATTTTTACAAATATAAAATAGCCCAACCTCGAGCACTTCCGCGCGAGGATTAATAAACAAATTTAACTAATGTAATCAAATTTTACATTTATTCATAACACATTTCGAAAAATTCAAATGCAAAGTCGAACAACTGCAAAACTTAAGTTTTGAACACATCTGTTGCACGTTTTGTTTTCATTACTGTTCTTAAGGAGAGACATTATGCATTGATATTTGCTCTATAAAATATTGGTTTATATTTAAGCAATATAAGAAAAATGTAAAAGGAACGATGCGATTGCCAATTACGGTAAATTTTTATCTTTGCTTTAAGGTATATTTGGTTGTCGCGTGCGACATCGAAAAAGTACATTTGTTATCAGAGCGTCAAAGGTATTTGTACAAGGAGCGTCAAATATTAGCTGCAAACACAGTTTTTTATTTCAAATAATATTTTAAAAAATTTGCCGCAAAATAGTCAGCGTAGAACCTATTTAAAGTTTGTCGCGTGCGACATCGTAAGTGCAAAATGTTTAAATTTAAAAAAAAAATTCTAAAACAACCTTATTTATATATATACATACAAAATATCACTTTAAAAACGTATTTTTTTGTTTTAAAGCTTTTATTCGAAATTAAAAGCTTGTACAGGGTGCGCCATCTTTTATGTCGGTATGAATATATTGAATAACTTTGTCATTAGTGAACCGATTGACTTGAGTAGACCAGTGTTGAAAACCTCAGTTCAAGAAATTGTACAGAACCAAATTAAATAAAAATATCTCATTCTTGAAAATCGGTTGTTTATTTTCAAAAATATTCAATGTTTGCATACCGACATAAAAGGTGGCGCACCCTGTATGGGCAAAATTTTAATATTTTGACGAGCTTGACTGACATAATTAAAGATATTGGATGCTTGTATATCGAATGGAATTTTTTTGCAAGTTCTCACGGGAAGGGAGCAATTGATGGACTTGGTGCCGTAATTAAAAGAAAAGTGTGGCAAATAATCAAATCGAAAAACATTGTTTTAGAGGATGCTCTTTCGCTCAGTTATATTCATTTATTTGCGATGGCCCTCAGGTAAAAGGAGCTAGGACTGCATATTCCATTAAAAAAATATATATGTGGCATAAGTAATGCTATTAAGTAAAGTTAAGTTAGTTTCTCGTATTCTTATATATGTAGATGAATACACATTTTTGTTTTTCTTTATTGAAGAAAATTAGTTCAAATTTTTATTTTGGAAAACAAAAATATGTATATAACAATCATTTATAATCATCTTATGTATTTCTAATTCCTTTTCCTTCATCTTATGTATTTCTAATTGCATAAAAAGTAAAAAAAAACAAGAAAGGAATGCTAAAGTCGAGAAGGCTCAACTCTTAAATACCCTGTACCACCCCACAAAAAAGTAATTAAATTAATTAATTAATTTAATTAAATTAATTAACTAAATTAATTTAATTAATTAGCTAAATATTAACTAATTAACTAAATTAAATATTCCATGCATGCATACATACATTTACATTTACATCAGAATCGTGCCTTATGCATGTTTGTGTACTTGTACATATGTATGTACAGCTGTGCTCAAAATAATAGTAGTGCTTTCATAAAAATTTAGTTCGTTCAAAAAATGTATGAAATGGTGTTTTAATGAATTTAAAATAATTTGTATTATTAAGTATAGTATATTAACAAGTAAATCATAAAGAAATAACTACAAATTCTGTTCATATAACAATTTTAATAATTTTTTTCCCAAAACTTCATTAATTTGGTCGCTCAAAATAATAGTAGTGTTTCATTTGTTGGCCTCTTACTTGTCCCAACTGATCCAAATAATACGGTTTTTATTTTAATTACTCATATTAGGTCTTTCTAAATAATATTAGTATTTTGTAGCATAGTCTTCGTGTGCAAGAACTGCAGCACATCGCTTTGGCATGGAGTCCATGGGATTGTGACATCTTTGAGGAGGAATGGAGCTCCAAGCATGTCTAACTGGTTCCCAAAGCTGTTCAAAATTAGTTGGTTTACGCTTGGCAACTTCCTTCTTCACATCGTGCTATAAATTCTCAATCGGGTTGAGATCAGGAGACTGTGCCGGCCATTCTAGAACATTGATCCTGTTAGTTTGAAACCATTGTTGGGCAACATTACTTGTGGGCTTCGGATCATTATCCTGCTGGAATACCCAAATTAGTGGCATTTCATCACTGGCATATGGCAGCATAATATTCTGCATTATATGCACATAAAGGTGGCAATCCATGGCATTCCGGATCCAATATATAAGCCCCGCGTCGTAATATGAAAAACTGGCCCAGATCATAATAC